AACTGCTGGACTGTGGATGGTGACTGAACTGTCCCGAGGAACGTGGAGCTACCTGCGCTTGCAGGTGCATTGGAGCAGGGTCTCTCCTACCCTGTGCTGTTCTTGCCCATAGGGATGGAGCACGTCTTGCCTGAGCACCGGGCTGGATGGGGCCAGCCAGTGGAGAGAGAGTTGAGGTGGTTTGTGTTCAACCAGTGCGAGTTTTTTGTAGATGATCCCCAAAATCATTCATTCAGTCAGCAAGTACTCCAGGGAAAAATGGATACGTTTTGGTGTCAAAGCTACATGTAGATTCTATATAGCAAGCAGAATTTATCTCAGATTGCTTTATTTCCTTATTATTTCTACAAGCACTCCAACGGCAGAAACAGCTGTACATGCCCAGGTTGCAGAGCAGTCAGCTACAGCTCGTTCTGCTGAGAGATGCTGCATCTGAGGAGGAGAAAACTCCAAACTTTTTATTTGGTATTGTGGCTTACTTGGTGTTTCTCATCCTAATCAAATTGTGTTGTTTTATGGGAAGAAAATGTGTTTAATGATCAGAAATAGGTCATCATGGATGCCTGGGAAGGGCAGGTTATAAATTGCTGCCTTCTCCAGGAGGCTGCTCAGAGCCCAGCTTCTGCTCCCTGTTGTGCCTCCCTCTCTCTGACTGCCCTGGGCTGCCTGATCCTGTGCGCTGCTTGCTGGCAGCTGGAGCCGCACGTTTCCAGTGCGAGAAGAAATTCAGAGGTTGCTTTTCTCCCTCTCCCTTTTGATATGGCCTGCCGCTCGTGCCGGCTCCTTGGGAAGACCCGGCTGGCTGCCTGCGCTTGTTCAGCTGCTGCTTCTCAGCTGAGACGTGTTTTCTGGCATCTTCTCTGAATTGCCTTCCCCCTCACAATTTTAATTTCTTTTTATCAGCAGTCCCTTATGGGAAGTAACAGCTGTCTCTCTTGATGGATGTGATTCATTTCCAGCCTTTCTCTCTGTATTTCAACTGTAACACATCTGCTACATGTGTATAGCCTTTAACTTTCACAGCTCGTGCCTTAGCACTCTGTTTCTTAATGCTTTTGCACATAATGCGTTGACCGGAGGGGGCTGTATTTAGAGTGGTCTGATCGAACAATAAATCCTAGCATCCTGATTGCAGGCTTCTCTTATCGTCTAAATGGGTTACTCAGGTATGTCACATTGTCTTGTTCTCAATCGAATAAGTGTAAAATTAGATCCAGACCTCCTTTGGTGTTTGTGTGACTTGTCAGAATTTCACCGCTTTCTAGCCACTTACACTGGGTTAGTATTAAATGTCACTTTGCAACGGCTGCTGTCAGCTCCATAGTTTAAAAACAAAGAACATAAAAAAAAAATCTAGCTGCAACAAATGTAAACTGCTGGTCCATTACTTTTGGAGAACTGTACTTTGAAAACTAGCTGTATTTAATTGCAATTGCTGCCACCCCGATTGAGAGCGAGTGGCAAATTGCAAGTCTCTACGGTGTTGCATTTTTGGAGGGGTCACGTTGGTACAGCCTCCAGCTGAAGAACTTACATAGTGCTTATATTCTAACATATTTTTAGTTTCAGTCACACTATATATCTCCTGGTAAGCATTTTAATAAAGTGAAGCTTTTATTAAAGGTGCAGCATTGTTTCTGACTGGAAAAAGGAGTCCAAGCATATGTAAATGGGGGGCAAGGGACCTAAAAAGGTCTGAACACCAATTTGTTGATGCAGTGTCTCGCATAAGAGGAGAAATGGGTTATCTCATCTTGTGTAGGTTTACGCTCCTCTGGTGCAGTAAAGCTAAAACTCAAGAGTCTGTTTCTGTGTCAGACAGTAAATGTGCAGAGGGTTTCTGAGTTAATTCCTCCCTGTCCTGCAGGGTGTCAGCTTTGTGGCGGGGACGGACAAGGCGGTCGTGGCTGCGAATAGAGGCATATGAGAAAAATAGATGTTAAATCAGAGATGAGAATTGCTTGAATGATACAACCAAAGCATTCATTTGAGGCCACAGAGGAGCTCAAGCGTTGGGATAGGGTTGACTCAAAGCTGTGAGCAGATGAGAAGAGGAACTGAAGGCAGCAGGTCAAGCGTGCATGAAACACACTGCAAGACCCAGGCGGGAGCTGGAGGCAGGGCAGAAAGCTGGGGTTTCATCCTAGGGTTCCCCTTCCAGAGCCACCCATTGTGTTTCTGAATACACCCTCACTAAGCTGCACCAAATCTGACAAGAATAATTTCAATTACCTTGTTAAGTGTTGAAACTTCCTGCAGCAGAACTCCTGTTCCGCGCAAACCCGAGTGCTGTCTCTCGTGGCTGTATTCCCCTCGAAGCCCGAGTTACATCGGTTTTCACAAGGCCATCTGTCAGCTTGTTTGAGATAAGCACGGCCAAGTGCCATGTGCTGGGTAGCCAGTGGAAGATTTTTTCACTTTATGCCTAGACAAGTTGCTTTTATAAAGCTGATTTGGGGGAGGGAGGGTTGCTGGCGATGCTCTAGTCCATCTGAAGCATCATTTCTCCTGGAGATCCGCAGTTCCTCGCCTCTGGTACCTTTCCTTTGCACGGGCGGTTGGTGTTGATTCCACATTTGGTACGTGTACAGCAGCAGACACTTCAAAGCTGGGAATGGAAGCAGCTTGTGGTAATTATCACAAAATTAAAGATAATCTCCTGCTCTGGAATTGTGACAAAGTGCAGAAAAGAGATTAGTGCAGTAGGAGAGCGGTCTCGGCCGTGGCAGGGAGAGTGTAGTTTCCCTGGCCTGGGTCCCTCTTGGCCACGTTGTGTTCCCAGCGATTTCCAGTGTTCAGCCTGGAGCAGCATTTGCCCCTTTGGGTTCCTCTGTGGCCTTGAGTTGCTACTCCAGTTTGTGCCCTGAAAGTTCCTTAGCCAAATGCTCGCTCGGTGCCTGCCATATCTCCTGCTCCACTGGCCGTTGCGAGGCTTTTGTTGAACAATCATAAAATTGTGTTGTCTTAGGCCAAAGACCTAATTTTTCAATACGGAGTTTGAGCTTAGCAGTGGTCCTCCGAGCTGCATGCTGGCTCGGTCCCAACGAGCTGGAGGGAGTGACGGGGTCACGCATCGCTCATCACGCACGGCACCCGCTCCTGTAGGCGACGGCCCCTTGGCTGAGGGATGTGCAGCCCAGGTGGGTGATGGAGGGGAGCAGCTCTGCGCTGGTGAGGGGTTCCCGCTCCGCTCGCCTCCCCTCCTCTTGTTTGAGATGGGATTGTGCGATGCAGCTCAGCCGGAGGGAGCCTTTGCTGCAGTCCTGTGCTCCTGATGTGAAACTTGGGCGCTCAAGAGGACAATTTAAAACAAAACAAGTAGTGAATCTTCCCGTGCCACTCTGGCTTTGCAAACACAGGCCAGGCTGTCGGGCTGGGGCGTTGCATTGCAGACAGTTCAAAATGCCACATTGACAAGACCCATTTTGCACCAGGGGACCCAATTTGCTGAGACCAGAACGGTGAGATAACCTCAGCATTTGTGATTGAGAGCAATTTCATCTCCCCTGTGATCACCAAGGGGGTTTTGTTGGGTTTGTTGTTTTTTGCTTCCCAGTGTCTGAAATATTTCCTGAAATATAACTGAATCGCCGGCTGCCCTAGCACTGTTGTCGTCTGCAGAGTATCGCGCTGCTGTTACGCCCAACTTTTGAAGCAAGCCCTGAAGCGTTGCTGCTTTTATTGGAGGAGACTCAGCAGTCAGCCTGGCTAAACCATCATAGTTCCTCCTTAGCTAAATGGGGGAGATGCTGAAGCAGCAGCATGTTGGGCTGGATCCTCTGGGGCTTTTCCTGCTCTCCAGCTGGGAGGGCTGGACATCTCCCACCCCCTGGAGAGGGACCACCCCCCAGCTGGAGTGTAGGTGTCCCTCTGGAGTCGGAGGACTTGCACACCAGCAGGCGGTTGTGTAATCCACCCGTTGCTGTCAAGTGGGGAAAACTAGAGGGCTTGGAAGAGCCATTCTTTTTCACAGTCAAGACTCTTAAGCTCCACTTGACAGTCTCTTGCGAAATTAAGCCCTTCCTAAAGGATTGTGTGTTGCTTAACAATCTGTGCTTATAGGAATGCTTCAGCCAGGAGCAGGGAGTGGCAGACTTGTACCTGGAAACAGATGGCCTTAAATCTATCTGTGCAAGTAGGCTGCTCTCCCAATAACTGGGCTCTGCATGCAGAGGTGGTTGGGGGAGGCTGGGGAGCTGCCTCGGTGGGGAACGTTGTGCTGCCAGGATGGGGTAGGGAGCTCTTAAGCAGCTCTTGATCCTTGTTCATGGTGGCTGGACTGGAGCTTATGGTCCCACACACGAGGCCCTCAGCAGGTCGGCAAAACCTCGTGAGGCCGGTGGTAGACGAGCCTGTTCTCACTGTTGACTGAAAATAAGCTTTGCTCCTTGCAAACCTGGGCTCGTGCTAGGAAATGGAAAGATGGCCTCATGTGAGAGAAGGGTTTGGGACCATGTAACTCTATGTATCTAAAGGCAAAATCCTAATTTCTCATCATTCACTCTAATGGAGTAACAGTGGCTTCTCCCAAAGGCAGTGGTAGGGATGAATGATGCATTCATTTTGCGATATATTTGGACAACAGATTCTATAAATAGATTCAATTATCAATATAGTTTGTCAAGTGCCTTCCAAGTGGCTGGAAAGCAGCTTCATAAGCATCTCTCTGTGCCTCCGTATGTAACCGACCCTTCAGTGTAGTGTGGACCTATTACTTACAGTGCTGCAGGGATTTACAAGAACCCTCTCTACTGACGCCCCTAGGATACGTTATTGCTAGGAAAAATTGTGCATCTTTGTGCTTCTGAATGTGAAATTGTTTGGGTGACCCCTATAACTTCAGAATCCTGCACTAGTGAATCTGAAAACTGAGCAAAACAAGCTGCCTTAAAGACTTTCCAGCTTGCTTGAAAGAGCAAAGCATTAGGCTATTTTCTCAGTGGTTTGTTGTTTTTTCTGATGTCCCTGCTTTCACTGATGCTCTTCCCTTCTCTCCTCAGGTCTGGCACCAAAGAAGGCAGCCATCACCGAGGTGAGATCTGTAAAACTGGCCTTGAAAATCCCATGTTGAGAAATGAGAACGTACAGCTCTAGAAAAGACTTCTGCCTGACTTTTTTGAGCAAAGCTGGTTATGAAAATACATTTAAGATTACTGAAAAATTGATAACATGTTATTTGGGAGAAAGAAAATCAGTGGCAGGTGTCTGGAGCCACAGAGGGGGTGTGAAGGGATTATGCCCGCCAAAGGTGACCAACTTTTAGCTGCGTGCCTCATGATGCCTGTAAGTAAGTGGCTGAGGGCACCTCTTCCACATCAGAACCTGAAGGTGGTAAATGGAGAATCTGTGTATTGGGTATCTCCAGGGCTCTGTGTTTGGTCTCAGCCCACTCCTGGGAGTGAGTCAAGGAGGCTGTAATTTGTGAAGTCATAAAACAGGGGAACATCTCGAGGGACTGATCTTCTCTCGCACATAATCCAGGTCGCAGGTTGCTGAATCACGCTTATCTTCTGAGCAAAACTCTTCACAGTTGGCAGCAGGGAATCTAGTAGGAGGATCTGTGCCTGAAAGCTGTTCCCCAAAGCCCACACTCTTGGTTTAGGGAACCATGTTCAAGTGATTTTTGTTTGATCTAATTTTCTGACATACCCCTTTCTATTACTCACCTGGTATGATGACCATGTGTATACATGAATAGCAAAATCTTCCCATAAAACTGCCAGGAGCGTCACACTTGATTCTTTTTTGCCTCCCCAGTAAAATACTTAGTAGGAAGTTCAAACTTCTGTGGAAGTTGATTGCTTTGTTCAATGTACAAATAGCCCTGCTTTTTCTTGCCCTGGAAACACAGCCACAGGTAGAGCAAGGGACTGTGCAAGAGGCTTTTGTTACTGCATTTCATATGATGGCAATCTCTTAACCAATACCCGTGTCTGTTAATTGCTTCAAGAGGATGACGATGAGCCACGTGGCGAGGCAGAACGATGCAGCTTGAGCTTGTGTGTAATAGGATCCATCGTGTTGGTTAGAAGCTGTAAGGAAAGGATAAGCTGTACAGCTTATCATGACTGCTTGGGGAAGGAGTACTCGGAAGCAAGCCTGGCTGTGCTAAATGTTTAAAACAGAGTAGAAAATAAGATTTTTGAAGGAGAAATCAGACTGCTCCTTAGTACCAGAAGTACAAGTGGTTTGGCCAGAAATAGCTGCAAGCTCTTGATTAAAAGCTAAAACACAAAGAACTTCTGTAGTCAGAACAAAATTATACATTGTCTGCTATAGACAACAGTTCCAAGAGATGGCTCTGTGTGGCACTTGAGAGAGACAGTGATATAATATCGTCACTTGGGAAATGACCTTGGATCTCTCTGCATGCTGCTTAAAGGAGCATCCGAAGCCTGGCTGTTCTTGAACGTAACAAACCCCTAAATGTCGCTGGTGGCTCGCTGGCAGTTTTAGCCATCTGCTGGGCTCCGCAATCCGCTGGGGTGGCAGGAGAGCTGGGGAGTAGCTGGAACGTTGCCCTGTGGCAGAGTATAGAGGCCCTACGCTTGGGCTTGCAAAGCCGTATCAGACCTCACAAAACACGATTGCCTTGGCTTGTTAAAGGGTACAGCCACAATCTGCTCCCTCCTGGATTGGCAAAAAAAGACCCAGGCAGACTAAGATGTAGAAGAGGAGAAAAATGGGATAGAAGTAGGTTCTCGCACTGAAGTGCTGGCAGTCCTATAGTGTTTCTATAAATTCTTTGCAAAACTTCAGGAAGAGCTGTTATTGCAGTTCACCCTGTGGGGGCTTGTCCTTTGAATTGTAAACAAATGGGATCTCACTTAAATGGATTATCTCCATGTGAACGCAGGAGCGGGGTTGTGTTGTCCCTGTTATCTGTCTCTTATTTCTCCAGTGAAGCGCGAGGTATTGGTATGACACCTGAGGGCATGGGATTTTTAAGAATAAACTTCTCTCGATTTAATACATCGCTATTTTAAATCAATGAGAAACCGCAGTCAAGCAATGGGGGAATCCTGGCAGCTGGGAAGCAAGTGCATCTTTCCTGAGCTCAGCATCTTTGCTGAGGGCTCTGCCCAGTTAGTACTGAGGGTGTCAGATGGGATGGTTGAGTATTCTAACTCTTCTTGTCTTGAGGGATGAATGTATAATTCAAACAGCCTTGTTAAAGCTTGACGGTGCCAATTACACCTGTTTGCACTCTGCAGATTTTTCTCCAGCGGTAGAGAGCTATCCCTCTGTGCTTTACAACTGCGATAGTGTGATTGTGCCTGTGCTGCTCTGCTTGTTCTTACCAGCCAGGTCAGCTTCTGTTCTGGGCTTTAGCCATGCTCTTTCATTGCAGGGACCATCGCTACCAGGACAGCCTGGCCAAGGAAAGAAGATAGGTCATCGAGGTGTTGATGCTTCTGGTGAAACCACGTACAAAAAGGTTTGGTTTGTGGAGTGGGGACTGGCAGCTACATGTAGGTGGCAGGCTGAGAAGAGAAGTTGGGGGCCAGTAGCTACCAATCTGATTTATATTTTATGCAGCACCATTGTACTGCATAATCTTGCAAACGGCAAACCTGGAAGCCGTAATTCATCTCTTCAGCAGCTGTTTGAACTTGTTTAGCAGTATGTAGTGCCCACGACGACTCCACAGAAGTCATAGGCATGACTGTGTTGTAATAAAGGAGATGTTATTGCGATAATCTGCTGTGAAATGCTCACTGACTGCTCTTTTCTTTCTGCCAGACCACCTCTTCCACTCTGAAGGGGGCCATCCAGCTAGGAATTGGATATACTGTTGGCAATCTGAGCTCCAAGCCAGAGAGAGATGTCCTGATGCAGGACTTCTACGTGGTGGAGAGCATTTTTTTCCCAAGGTAAAAGAGACAGGGGAAACAAAATAAACAGATAAGTTATTCCTTTTCCTTTCACTGAATTTTCAAGAGAGCTTCCATCTGTCTTTAGACCAGAGTCGGATGCTCTGAAAGTTTTAAATATGCATCCGTTACATACAAACATAACAGTGGCAAGTGTTAGATTCTGCAGGACACTGGTTTGCAAGGAAGTACAATGTAAGATGCAGTGCTACATGCCTGAGTTTGTTAGCCTTCCTACGTGCTTTTCTTTCTACCTGTCCATCTAGAATTTCTTCCACGACATTATATCATGTTTGAGATGGAAGAAACTCATTCTGGGAGCTCTTTAACTGTGAATAAACAAAGCTCATAAAGGCTATATTATCTGTGTAAGTATATTCGGCTTGGCAAGTTGTTCCTTGCAGTCTTTGGAAATACGTGTTGGCACATAATTTAAAACCCATTTTCCTGTTGTCCTGCCACGGAAGAAAGGCGATTGTTGTTGTTCCTAAGATGTCTTTTTGCAAGGCTCAATTAGTCTTAAATGTACAGTCACATCAATGCTACTGTGTATGTCTGGCAAATGGTAATACAGAGGCCCTGCTCATGCCATGTTTGTTCTGTGCAGCGAAGGAAGTAATCTCACCCCAGCTCACCATTATGCTGACTTCAGGTTCAAGACCTATGCACCGGTGGCTTTTCGGTACTTCCGAGAACTGTTTGGGATTCGTCCAGATGATTATTTGGTATGGTTATATTTTTGGATTTCTCTGCCTTTCCTCCTTTATTTGAGATGGTCTAGAGTAACAGAAGAAATCTGCCCCTAAATCAAGGCTGTCAGCCATTCTTGCTTAAAAGGGATAAAAAAGAGTTGAGGAATTGTTCTGATCCCAGCAAGACAGGCTGTGGATTTAGGGACTCTGCTTAGTTTTGGACAGGATCCAGTGAGAATCCCAGCAAGACCAGCACCACTCAGCCCAAGTCTTTGTTTGCTAAGAGGTAGCTGCTAGCCTACACTGGAGAGAAAGGAAATGATCTGCGTACAGCGTGTGCTGTGTAAGCTATGCAATGGGGTTCCCTCTCTGTTGCTTGTGGTGACAATAACTTACTGTGTTTACAAGCAAAAGGAGTTGTGTTCTGCTGGGTGCAACCCTGTAATGTCCCCTGTGGCTCTGAGGACAAAGATGGGAATTTTTCCTTGTGTACTCACTCAAGAGCTATGTGAGTGTAGTTATTTTAATCATCTTACAAAGACAGAATAAAACAGCTTGTTCTTGTGCCCAGAAAGCTCCTCAGAGCTGGAAAGGCAGTTTTTAAAATACCTAGTAGTACAGGCTGTTGGGACTTGGGAGTACACTGGGGTTGAATTTGATTCCTTGCATGTGTGTGACGTCCTGCTTTTTAGAAAAGGACGTTTGTTGAACCGGGCAAGGGAACACCAAATGGGCACGCACCCTCCCCCTTTTTTAATAACCTTTTTTTCTGACTTCAGCTGTAGGCAGGGGTAATCGTAGCTGAACAGCTACAAGTAGAAACAATTGCATTGTTTGAGAGTAACGGTGGTCCCCATCTGTGCCATCCAAGATAATGCTGGCTGATTTGATGAGTGGTTCAAAACTCGGGTGAGGCAGAGCGCCTGCCTCAATTGCAAAGGTCACGACTCTGATTTGTTGCTTCTGCTTCCCCTGATTCTCTCTTGCCTGCCACAGCAGCAAATGCCTTTAATTATGCATGAGATAATTAACTTGATAAGGTCTTGGATCATTAATCTGTGCAGTGCTGAAAGCCGTTTTCAGTACGTAATGATGAGCATTTAATTTATTGCTCTGATCATGTCCCTTACATACCCTACCTCCCTCTCCTCATCTTACCTCTTGCTGTGGCAGCTCTGACATGATGCTGCCCTGAACCCGCTTGACCTACGCAGTTACCCTGGGGTTGGTACCTCGCTCCAAATTGCACGTGCATGCTTGCGCTTTCTTCTTTTTATTTTTTTGTTCCCCGTGCTGCTAGGCATGTCCTCATTTGAGGACCTGATGTCCAGAAATGTCCTCCCAGTTCTGTTCCTGATGCAGTACGCCTTGCTATGCTTACACAGCACTGACCCCTCTCTTCTTGTTTGGACACTTGGTCTAACACTTTTCATGTGTTTCTGTCTGGATTGAGGGAGTGAGATGTGGCTGTAAAAATCCTCTGTAACAGGGGAGCACAAAGCCAGAGGAGGCTGCTGAGAACTGCCAGTGCATTGTGTTCCCTCCAGCACAGTGATACGTGGTACCTTGAGCAGACTGTCATGTCTCTTAAAAGCCTATCTTTCCATCTGTGCTTGTGGTAATGTGCTGAAAGAAGCCTAAATGTGATACACGCACAACAGGAAAAGATAAGATGTCGTTGTGAAGCCTGGATGTTACTGAAAGCAGATTATTAGCTTGATTCTGAGCAGTTTGGAGGTTCTGTACTGTAATCTTGGTCTCTAATTGTAAATTGTCCATCAGCTTTGCTGCTTAGACCTAACCTATAATGAAAATAGTTCTCATTTAAGCTTTGCTACCCCTTAATCTCACAGGCAGACAGCATGCTGGGGAAAGCCCTCAAGGGCATAGAACTCAGTGTGCAATGAGTGGGGGCTAAAAACATCATCTTTTTTTCTTTTCCTCCCTAGTATTCATTATGTAATGAGCCTCTGATAGAGCTGTCGAACCCTGGTGCCAGCGGCTCCCTCTTCTACGTCACCAGCGATGATGAATTCATCATAAAAACTGTGATGCATAAGGAAGCTGAATTCCTACAGAAGCTCCTTCCTGGCTACTACATGGTGTGTATCACCCAGCACCTTGGACCTGACTTGGGTTTGTCGCAGCAGCTTTTCTGCCCAAACCATCACACAGGGCCTGTCCTCCACCTGGGTTTCTTGTTTCACCTGCCCACCCTGTGCCAGGGACAATGTTACCAGTGTGTCACGAAGCCAGTCCCAGAAGCACAAACCCTGCCAATTATTTGCAAACTCTGTGGGTGAACTTGAGGCAGATAATTGTGCCATTGCTTGTAGGCACCTTCTGCTCTGAAAATGGCTTCCCACATGTGTGTTTCTGGGTGTCCTTTTCTCAGCACTAGTTCGTTGTTCTTCACTTGGCACCATGCATCTGCCTCAGCCCGGCTTTGAGGATGGCTTTTGATTGCAATAACACAACCACCTTAGTTTTGTGGGGAAACCACTGCTGTCCATGGCTACCTCCCATACCTGTTGTTTAAGAGACTTATTCTGAAGGCAGTTGCTGGTTGTCCTGGCTCCCACTGGCTGCAGTACCAAGCTAAAGACTCCCACGATACCAGCCAGCTTTGCACATCCAGTCTGCTGCAGATAGTTGTTGCTTTAATCTCAGGGCTAGCGGGGCAATATATTGAGACCCAGAGGACTCGCATGTAGCCACAAGCAGTAAATCAGAACCAAATCTGGTGCTTTGGTGTATAATCCAGGAGCTGTCTCGCTGCATAACTGTGGTGAAGGGTCCAGCTCTATAGATGAGGGCACTGAAATTCATTTAGAACTACACAGGGATTCACTTGCTATGGAGATGCCAAAGAGAAGGTGATGGCAAGCGATGTTAATGCTGCCCCATCTGCGTGCATGTTGCAGTGGGTTTGATCTATGTGATCATACACTGCTTCTATGAAAACGCTTGCCTTGCTCAATATTTACTGGGGAAAATGTGCCAAAGACAGACAAAATCTTGGGTGTCTGTATATAACTGACAGCCAGTCACCTGCTTTTGCAAGTGACAGTCAAGTTCATGGGCAGGCTGAGCTTTCTTGGAAAGTGTTGCCTGTTGCCTAATTTATGTAGTCGATCAGGTGGAGGGTTTTGAACAGGAAGGGAGTTGCACTGTTGCCCTGAATTCTGCAGTTGTCCTGACTAGCAATCAGTGTAACGAATTAGACTGAACTTACCTGCCTGGTGCAGAGTTATATGCTACTTGTCGTAGTGTTCCAGTGTTTGTGGGTTACTAACACATGATCTCTCTGCTCTTCTTGGGAAACCCATCCAGTGTAAAAGGAGTCAGTGGAAAGGCAGCAGAATGATTTTGTCCTGAGTTACTTTAAAGCTGGGCAAGCACTGTTTGTGTTTGGTCCTGCCTGCCTCTGTTGCTTTTAGCTTGCATGATGTTGATCAGCGCACTCGCAAAGAGGGCTCGCTCATGTGCCCAGTTGGGTGAGATGGAAGGGCATGAAATTTTAATACAGTTGTGCTTCTGCCGTCTGTCAGAGAATCTGTCAGGTCTGTCCATTCTTTCATAATGTGCAGAGATGTTCTGTTTCCTTCCCAAACTTTCCCAAAGCTGAACAAGCAAATGATGCTTGTTATGTCATTCCTAATAATACCGCTGCCTAAAAAAAGGACATGATAGCAAAGCAGGATATCCGTGCTCTCTGCCCAACTGTGTTTAATAAAGCAACTCTGCAAAAGGAGAAAATTGATGTTGTTTTGTTTAAAAAATACCGTGTCCCTGGTTTATTCTGGGCCAGAGAACGGCTCTTGATTTCTGACAGTTCTGAAGAGAAGAAGATAGCTGTTATTTTTAAACTTGAAGTTCCCGCTTATTGTGTTTATTTCTCTTCCAGTTTAGTTTCCCTTTTGTAGCTGCTGTTGATGAGGAAACTGGGGAATTTCCGGACTTGGCTATTTGCCCAGAGAGTGCTGTATGTCTCATTCCCTGTATTTGAGGCATAGTGGTATTTTCAGGTCCTAAAGCGACTGAAATGCAAGTGTTTGTCAAATGTGTACAGTAAGCTCTCATGTAAAGTTCAGAAAATCTCTAGGTGAACAAGTCCTAGTCTGACTGCTCCAAGATGTCTTAACATGCTTTGTGTTGAACACAGCAGGAGTCTTCTGCCATAATGACCTTTCCCCATGCTTTTTTGCAACCCTGCTGCAGAATCTGAACCAGAACCCACGGACGCTGCTGCCGAAGTTTTATGGACTGTACTGTGTGCAATCAGGGGGCAAAAACATCCGCGTGGTCGTGATGAACAACATTCTGCCTCGCGTGGTGAAAATGCACCTGAAATTTGACCTGAAAGGATCGACCTATAAACGCCGGGCATCCAAGAAAGAAAAAGAAAAGTCCAGCCCTACGTACAAGGATCTAGACTTCATACAAGATATGCCTGAGGGCCTGATGTTGGATGCGGACACCTTCAGTGCGTTGGTGAAAACATTGCAACGAGACTGTCTGGTAAGGAGACAGGCAGCTTGGAGAGCAGGTTAATGAAGTTCTGTGGCTCTCAAGCATGAGAAAGAGTGCATGACTGAGAACCTTGCTAATCTGCTAACCCCAAAGCAGGATAAATCCCCTCTACTGCCCTTTTTCCTGAAAGCAAAGCAGTGGAGTTGGATCTTAGGACAGCCTCTGAGGATTAGGGCTGTGTTCCTTTGCCTGGTGTGTGAAATTGTGGTAGCCCGCTCCACTTGTAGCTGGGCTATTGGGACTAAATACATTTTTCCTATACAGTGTACAGCAGATACATGGTACAAGAGCGTTATTTGCAAGCCTTCAGCCCTTTGGGTTGATTGTGGGGTGGCCAACCTCCGTGCGATCAAGTCCAGAGGTGATTATTGGTTCAGAAATGTTCAAGCTCTGGCAAAGGGGTTATTAGTGGGAAGGTAGACTGGCTGTTCCATGCTTTGGGATCTGTGCTGTATTTGAGCTTCTGGCCTGATATTTTGTCTTTGTTCTTAAACTCAATACTAACTTGTAGGTGTTGGAAAGCTTTAAAATCATGGACTACAGCCTCCTGCTTGGGGTTCATAACATAGACCAGCAAGAACGGGAGCGACAGTCTGAGGGAGCCCACAGCACGTCAGATGAGAAACGTCCCGTGGGGCAGAAGGCACTTTACTCCACGGCCATGGAGTCCATCCAGGGTGGGGCTGCACGGGGGGAGTCCATAGACACAGACGACACGTACGTGAAAACCTGGTTCTCTTGCGCTGCTGTGAGGGGTGGAGGGTGGAGCAGTAAATCCCTACTGAGGCCTATGTGAACTCTAAGAGTGAGCATCTCTCCTGGGGGTTCTGGTACGGCTGCCAATAAAGCAGTGTGGTGTGAGAGGGGGACGCTGGGGTGGGAAGTATTTCTGTAAGACTCCAGCCTCACAGCAGCCTCTCTTAGGCCAGACTGTAGGTTGTCAGCTCCTGTAACAGCTTCTAAACATCCACCCGTGCTCTGGGGAGGAGAAACCTAGCTCATTTCTATCTCAGCATCCAAATACAGGAGTGGAAGTAGGGATCAGCCTCTCCCTAGGAGCTTGGAGTTTGTTCTCCATTGCTGCATCTTTGGAATCCCTGACAGTACCCCGAGGCCATCCCAGTGCGGTTAGCAAACAGCAATGTAGCCAAGCGCTAGAGTAACTGGTGGAGCTGTGGGTTGGGGGGTTGCCCAAAACCTGTCCTGTGCTGTGCCTAGTCCGTTGCTCTTGGGCTGCAGGTGGCTCTTGTGACTGGCTCTGGCTCTGTCCAAGCTTGCTAACAAATGGTAGAGTTCGCTGTTTGTTGCTCTCTGAAACCAGCTGCTCCAGTTTTAATGGAGGATCAGTCACGGTGGAGCCAGGATAATACTTTTGGTGTTTCCATTCTTTCAAGTAGCATCATTAATTGCAGTAGCCTGCCTGATACCTGCATGCTTTTGCCGTGTGCTGGTGCTAGTGTTGCTGCATCTTTGGCAGGACTGATACTGGTGTGGACGGGACTGGAAATACCCTTGTCCTTAAAGGTGTGCTGCCCTAATAGGCAGACAGCTCACGCTGAACTGATAAATAATCTGATCCCCAGAACAAAATGTCCTGTAGCTAAGAAACGACATGGTGCTTTCTGGCCCAGGCAGAACTGTTGCCACGTGACGTGGGTCCTGTCCTGATAGATGGTGCTTGGCAATCCAGGCAGGCAGTAACTCCGGGGACACCTTGTGTGAGATGGCCTGGGTCAGTAGGTGGTTTCCTCTGGTTGCACACAAAGGGCCTTTGCAGGACTTGCGTTGTGTCTGACCACCACATCCGAGCCCTCTTCAGTGCTGCTGTCTGCCCTTCCACAGGTCTTGTGGGTATTACAGCTGTTCTTTTTGAGGCTGCACTGACTGAGGTTTTGTTTTACCTGCAGGATGGGAGGAATCCCAGCAGTGAATGGCAAAGGAGAGCGTCTCCTGCTACATGTAGGAATAATAGATATCCTTCAATCATACAGGTAGGTAACTTTGCAGTTGTCTGTCCTTTAAGTGTGTTAACATCTATTTTAATATTGAATGAAAGCAGGAAGACTTTCCTCTCCTGAACAGTTTGATAATGAGTAGGCAGGCTGCCTACAGCTGTCTGTCGATGCCTGTCAGGGACTGTGGATTTTTATCCTGTCCTTAAAACAGCTGGTGACACAGAGACATTTTTCTAAGATATAATGAGTTGCCCATAAAGAAGTTTCCCGTCTCTGTGCCTAGGATGGCTAGCATATCTTCAGGGATGGAAGGTGATTTTCTGCCCCTCTTCCAGCTCAGCTCCTCCTTCCCTGTAGGGTTCCTAGGCAGTCCTGACCTGACTGCAGAGATGCCAGTGTGCTCAGCTGACCTCTCTTGGCTGCAGGAAAGCTACACTCCAGATGAAGGAGGAATCATTAGCAGCTTAGTGATCTCTCCTGTGTGGGGTATGAAAGATATAAAGTATGTGCCTGAATCTGTCTCTCTTTCTCTCCACTTCTCCGCTGGAATTAGGTTCATCAAGAAGCTAGAACATACCTGGAAGGCCCTTGTCCATGACGGGGTGAGTACAGAGGCAGGAATTATCCAGGACTCGGCAGGATTACATGCCTTGGCTTCATTTATGCTAGTTGGTGCTGATTACCTTGCTGTTTATCGTGCCACAAACTGGCACAGTTGAAGCTGATGAAAGGAATAGCTCTTGCCTCTTAAGCCTCCACAGTCATGTAGTGCCGCTTATTCCCAATCAGGTTGTCTTGCTCACTCCACCTCCTCACATGTTTAGCTGTCGTGCTACCAGCTTTCCTCCTCTGCTCCCATCTGTCATTTTCCTCCTCCCCATGATACCAGGAGCTGTACGCACAAGGCGCATGCATTCATTTGTGTCAGGGAGCCCTGCGTTTGCTCTCTTTGGTGACTGACTGTGTTTCCACTTCAGTGAGTTATCTGTTAATAAACCCCTTTCAGTGTTTCCTCGCTGTCTTGTCTCCTGCAGCAGCCAAGTGCATGTTTAGGAAAGAGCAACTTTGGATGTGGAAACTATTTTTCAGTATTGCATAGCGTAGCTTCCCTTAAATAATAAGGCAAAGGAAATGTGTAGATGCCAAGTCATAGTAGCACAGTTGAGTATCAGAAGCAGAGACAGCTTCAGCTTTACTATTTCAAACAAAAAGTGCAAAACATTTGAAATGTATGGAGACCTTTGGCTGAATTTTGGTGTCCGTGTCTTTTGGAAAGGTATCCAGGTATGCTTTGAATGTCAGCCAGCAATGCCAGAAGAAATTTCATGTATGTAGTCAGGACAATATTTGAAAAATCCAGGAAGTCTACAAAGGAATAAAATCACCAAAATCCATTATAAAATTACAGCAAGAATATAATCAAATGCAATCAAATCAAAGGCAATGCTTCAGGCCTATTTATAGCATTAATCAGATCATTTCAGTTAAGCCTTTCCACTTTAAGGGTCTGTCAATGCTAAATGTTGGAATAAAAAAAAAAAGACTGCATTGGTTGTTACAGAAATTCTGCCTTGAGGGATAATTTTAAAATTAAACAATTGCTTCTTGCCTTTGTAGGACACAGTGTCAGTACACAGACCCAGCTTTTATGCAGAGAGATTCTTCAAGTTCATGACCAACACAGTATTTCGAAAGAATTCTTGTAAGTACCTAGTCCAAGAGCTGTTGCCCTTGTGACGTGGGAGAGGCAGAGCCTTATCTCCATCTTGCTGCTTCAGTTCATGTGGAGAGTTTCTGGGCTGGAGTATGAGCAGGCTTTTCCGCTGCAATATTGAGCAAAGCTGGGGTATGCAAAGCCCTCTGCTTGTCACAGCTTGCTTTTGGTCTGCTCAGACTCCCACCCAGGAGCTCTCCCTGCAGCCTGACTCAGGCTCAGTCCTTTGGAGATGGCACTTGCAGAGCCTGTATGTGTGTCAGAGGGCAGAGGCCTCTCTCTATGAAGGGAAAAGTGCCTTTGCTGTGACAGTAGTTGGTGGTGGTAATTTCATCTTCTCTTTCACTCTTCATCCAGCTCTGAAGTCATCTCCCTCAAAGAAAGGGCGCAGTGCCTTGCTAGCTGTCAAGATGGCTGGTCCAACAGCTGCATTTTCAGCTAGCCAGCTTCCCTCTGAAAAGGACGAAACACAGTATGACCTTCGTGCGGCCAGGAGTTACCCCACACTTGATGATGAAGGTAATGGTCTTGTTTGGTGGCTGGTGACTGCGTGATTACCCTCTCTTTCCTAGAAGTTCCTTAGGATCCTCCCCTGTTCTCGTCAAGTTCCCCACTGTGCACCAACCACGTCTTCCTTGATGGGTAGCTCTTCATTGCATGTCTTGCTGTGCTTTGCAGGTGCTAAACTTAACCAGGACAGGGGAGAAGGTAAGAGTGTATTGTTTTGTCACAGCACCAGCAGTTAGTTGATTGGGGAAGCAATGTCTCTGCATTGAAGACGACCAAATCCCTTCTTTGCAGCACTGTATGATTCTGCAGTAAAAATGGTCACTTGTGTTACTGCTGCAAGGCAGCCACTGCTAACTGGCACCAGCAGTCATAGCCCAAAAGCAATCAGAAAGTTGAATTTTCCACCCTTTAAAAAAAAAAAGGCTGGGGGATGGCAACTGGGACTGAAAGACTGTCATGACAGCGTTTGGACAGTTAAAAGGGGCAAGATCTTGCCATTGAAAAAAAGGCGAATGGCCTAGTACTGTTGGTGCCTTTTCATCGCTCTCATCTGGGCTGGATTTACTGAAGAATGGTGAAGGGCAAGCTCCTTGAGTGCATAGAGGTTAGATTTCTACCTATGCAAAGCAGTGAGCACTTCTTAATTCACTTGGATATTTATCCCTGGTGATCCAAGCCTTTAATCCACCTTTAGTGACCAGTGAGATGTCTTCACTGGCATTACAATTCCTGTAGCATCTGTCTGTCGTGCTGGAAATGGTGCTTACTGGCTCTCTCTAGGGGATGCCTTGCCGTGTTGCGTTTGTGAACCCAGCTAAATTTCTTGCCCCTTTGTGGTTTTAAGTGGCCAGTCCCAGTGAGGGTGTGCAGGGTCATGGTAGAACAGCCTCACACAGGGCTGGTGTAGGTAAGGTGTTGGTGTTTGACCTACTCATCCTTTTCCTGCATCTCTCCTGCCCTCCACTCCGGGCCAGCAGGCAGGCCAGACCTGCTACCCTGCACACCTCCTTCCTTTGAAGAAGCTACCACAGCCTCCATAGCTACGACACTATCTTCAACATCTCTCTCTGTTCCCGAGCGATCCCCTTCGGAGACTTCGGAGCAGCCCAGGTACAGGTGAGGACAGCACTCATCCCCTGCTCCCACTGGAGTCAAGCCGCTGCTGTTCTTTGTGCTGCAGATCTCGGCATGCTGCCCTATGCTCTGGAATGCTAATGACCGATTTTAATTAAATCTCTCCTGGGAGCAAGCAGACACAGCTTTGATGGAATTAATTATTGCTGGGAGAAGTGTCAGCTGTTAAGCAGAACATCTCCCTCATGGGGTGGGGAGTTAGATTTGGGGGTAGTTTAGGATTTCTGTCTTGAATTGCTCCTCAAACTTTACTATTCTGTTTTTTTTCTGCAGGAGGCGCACACACTCCTCAGGGCAGGATGGCAGGTGAGAAAAGTGTCTCATCTCTTGTGCTGCTGCACAGAGACCTCACATTTGTCCCTGTGCAAAGGTCTTTGGAGGATGGAATGTGAATCTTGGCAGCCCCAAGATTTTGGCATGGTCCTCTGCAGGATTATGAGCTTCTTCCTGCAATCAAATGATCCCCCTTTCTTACACAGAATTTTCCTTACAAGCAGATCTCTCAGTGCTTTGCAAGGAATCTTAAGTATTTACACCTGTTATTTGATGGGAAAGGGGACAACCAAGTTGTCGAAATTTACCCACCCAACCAGCACCAGAATCAAGGAAGGTCATTTATGTCCCCCTTTTGGGTAAGCGAGCCTTAAGAGCAGGAACGTTCCTCCTCTGTGTGCCTGGGTACGATGGGTGTGAATATGGGAAAGGGCTTTGACTTTGCGAGGCACTGAGCACCCTTACTCCCCATAGAAGTAGCTTCCAGTGTTTTCAGAAACTCGGGTACTTTGAGGTTTTTTTTCCCCTCCTGTGGCGATAGGTGGCTCGGAGCCAAGGGCAAGGGAGGACAAAAATCCCCTACTGCATAGGGATGTCTGGATTTAGAGGCTAATATCGTATCTCGCATATTTTAGCACCAGTAAATATGGTGCTAAAAAAACACTGCTTGTGTCAGTGGGATCATGCTGCTGATTCTGCCCTAGATTTCCAGAATATCTTTTAAGTCTTTTAGGTGCAGACTTGCAGAAATGCACATCAGAGACTCAGGCTTGGGATATGCCATAGCCAGAGGAGCTGCTGGACAGGCGGACGTCTGTTCTCTCTGCAGTCAGTGTTTGGTGCTTTAGAGGAAGGCAAGGACTTTGGTAGATGAGGGTTTGTACCATTTTACAGACAACTCCCCTCATTCCTTGCTTTTAGCGATTTGCTGAGCTTCAGACCACATACACTGTGAAAAAAATCCCTTTCAGTGTTAATGAAAATACCTCTGGATGCTGCATGTCACTGAATCCCGGTAAATTCCTGTCACTGGAGGGTGAGGACCTACTTGCTGTTGATTTGCAGCACCTGCTGAAGTGTCAGGGACCTGTGAAGCGCCTCACCTCCTGCAAAATCTTTTTTCTGAAATCCATGAAAATTGGAGACTTAAACTCAGGCACCAGTGGTGGGACCCATTTGGCAAAATGCAGTGACTTCACCTGAGTAACTCCAGACTCCCTCAGTACCTAATGGAGGGACCTGCTGTAGCATGTGACTGCTCATCCAGAAATAGGTCAGGTGAATCATGTCCTAGAAGTGACTGTGTCCCTGGACCATACAGGGAGTTTAACAGCTTGGTCAGAAGTAGATCTGTCTGTCACTGATTTGCCACCGCTACAACCACCCCACACAAGTGTGGCCACCTTTGCTATTTTTTGCCTAGTTTCTTCATTTCTGGTGCTGGTGTCTGTGTGCCCTTTCCAGGGGAGCAGGACCTGTGTATTTGCAGAGCACTCTGTGATCCCCTGGTGAAAGCCAGTGCAAGAACAACGTTACTAAAGCATGAAATTACATTCCTGAGCCAAAATGAAAAAGACCTTATCCAATTTGCTCAAGAACATGTCACACCTCTGACTATTCTAATTTGCTGGGGAATTCCCTCTGGGTTTCGGAGATCCATCCCTGTGAGGAGGAGAGGAGCAAGATCCCTGGCACCGAGCTGGGCAGGAGTGCCGCCTGCTGGCTTCGGCTCCCAGCCAGGGACAGGGCAGAGCAGGACGGTACGGCCAGTGAACCTGGAGCTTGTCCCTTCTCTGAGACTGGGCCCTCGGCTTCACGAGCGCCCGCTCCTCGCTCCCATGAGGAGGCAGCCCTGCTAGCACAAGCAATTACTTTAATAACATGAGGCATTAAATTGAAGACCGTCACAAACAGCTCCTGAGCATGCAGATAAATCTGATATTAACCCTGCAGCATGCTTGGGCAGTTTTGGTGCGCCGGGAGTCTTGGAAGAGGTTGGAGGCTTTGGCCCTTGTGCGGTTGATAGATAATGCCAGGCTAACTTTGGACGCAGGTTTTCCCTGGAGGTCAATTCTCCTCTTTCCTCCCGTACTCCATTTGACACTGCCCGTCTTTTCTGCAGCACTGGCTAATTAATCCCTTTCCTGTTGTCCTCTTTTCCCACCTCATTAGTCTTGAGCACTGCAGTCTGACAGAACTGACTCTTTTGCCTGGGAGTTTTGGTTATCCAGATCCTCAATCCCGGGAGGTCTGATGGCTCCCTCTGAGCCGAAATCAACAGCTCGGTCTGTGCCGGCAGCTCGGCGCCGTGAGTGGCTGGCAGCAGGCAGGGCAGACCAGCACAGCTCGCTCCTGTGGGGACTGCGGTGCGAGAGTCTGGGCTGACTCAAATCTGATTCAGGCTGACCTGAAATTGAGGACTCTGCATAACTAGTGCCTCACTGAGCCTTTGGGCCTGTCTCTGTTCGGTTTCCAGGTCACATGAGGAGGTGCGGGTTGAGGAGGAGCTTCAGCAGATCAGTGTCGAGCTGGAGCCCAAGTGTGATGTTGAGATTGTAGCTCCTGAAGAAGATGACAAAGAGTGAGTGTTTTGGAGCGTTGGGCAGCTTTGTGGAGCCCTGCCTGCTGTCGTTTGGTCTGTGGCAACTTGTGCTGGAGGCTGACTTTGTAGGGCACCCGCTTTCCTGGAGAGCTAGGCACTCCCCCGGGCGCTTCAGTGAAGCTGAGCACTGTTGCTTCTGACCTGACCTGATCTTTCTGGATGTGACAGCAGAGCATCTTAAGCTCCTCTGTAATAAATCATACAGTCTTGCTTGCTCTTTTTCTGATTGCACTGACTAGACTGTAATTTCTTCCCCCCCTCCAGAGAGGCAGCTTCTTCAGCCTGTGCCATTGTAACATCCACAGCTGCGATAGAGGTGGAGACGGCCAGCCAGGCCTCTGAACCAGCCAGCCAGGCCTCGGATGAAGATGACGTGCCAGTCACAGACATATACTTTGTAAGACATCTTCTCCACCTGGCCTGTTAGGGGTGTGATGGGAAAGGTTGGACGAGGCTGTAAGTCTCAGTTTCATGCAGTTGGGTGCAGGGCATGTCTGCACCATGCTGTCTTCATGTTGAGCACCTTGAGATCTTATAGCTGGATGGGTTTTTGAATGCAGGGAACTGGATTAACCCCTGGAGTACTCAAAACAGCAGGTAGTGGGGCTCAAATGGGTGGCGCTGCTGCTGTGGGTGTAGCTGTAGGTGTGCTGCTCTACTTCCAAGCACAAGCACTGAAGGGCTTATCTAGGCCAGCATGTTCACTCCCCGGACAAGTCAAGGTGAATGTAGGTGCAGCTGGGAGGCTCCTCCTTCCTCAGCCAGAGAGCCCAACTGCTTTCCTGAACACAAACGTGCCGTAGCGGCCTGGAGCCAGAAGGGAGGTGGTTGCAGTGGGGCTGACCTCGGGCTCTGGTGAACTCTGGCTTTTCCTTTCCCTGCAGGCAGATGCATTAGGTGATGCAGTGGAAATCTAGTGCTGAGACAGGGAGTAAGTGAGGTGGTTGCCGGTTGGCAGCAGAGTGCTGTGGAGCCTGGCGCTGTGTTCCTCAGTCAGCTCTCACAATGTCTGAGCAGCTTCTGCAGACCAGAGAAGAGCTTTTAGCAACATGTACCTGCGTCACGGACTCCCAGAGCAGAGCTGAGGGTCTGACCCATGAGAGCTCTCCCCTATTCCCAGGCACAATGGAACCTTCTCATTAAAAGAGGTGCTCAGCTTCTTCCTGCTCTGACTTGTTGCTGTTGGTTATATGGTGATGGAGATGAGCTGAGCCCTTGTGATGAGCTCCTTCAGGCTAACCTAAAAATGGCAATGTTTGCCTTTCCCTGTGCTTTGTGTGACTCTGCTGCAGAGCTGCTCACTCGTTGCCGAGTCATTCCGAGGCTCATGTGAGCTGTGGAAGGGATCAGCTCCATTTTAAAAGCTTGTCTGTTTGGGTTTTTATGCATGCTGTTCAAAATGCAAACAGCTCCCTCTAACACTAGCTGCTCTTTTTTTGCCTGTGGATGGCAGCTGTGTGCAAGTTGCCTGCAGATACTGCCTGCTCCGCTGGCAAGTGTTTTCTAGCAAAGGTCGGCTTCTCTTCCTCCCTGTCCCTGGGCATATGGACTCCCCCACAACTTGAGGGGCATCTCTCTATCTGGAGGAAACCATCTGTGTGCAGCGTGTGCTCACAGAGAGCATGACTGAATGCTCATCAGCATTTCATACTTCATCTAAGTCCTTGAGTTTTGCATTAAATGTGTGTCGTGTGCTGTGGAGTGTTTGTCACTGCTGGGATGAAGGGAAAAGCTGATTTGGGTTTCCACGGGCACTTTCCTTGGAAAGCCACTTGAGATGGAGCTCAAGTGAGGCTGCACCAGAGTGCAGCAGGGCTTGGACCACAGCTGGTCTCTTGCAAGAGTGCTCCAGGGGTGATGGTTGGTGCAGGGATGCTGTGCACAGAGGATGATTTGTCAAGTCCCAGGGGACTGTAATTTCAGATTTGGAAGTCTGCTTCTGAAAAGGAGAGCACTTTATCCTCCTGTTCACTCATGGGGGAATAAAGGTGCAGAGATTGTGGCAGGGCATGGGTGCCACTCTTCCCACGCACGGCTTTCCTTTCTGCTGATCCGTTCAGGCTTGGTTTGCCCAACCTCTTGTTTTTTGCTTTTGTCTTTCATCCTCTCTTTTACATCATCCTTTTTTCCTCTGTTTCCTTTGTTTCCTTTCTCACTTCACTTGCCCTGGGGCCATCCAGTTCACAGATGGGAGGTACTGGATTTACTCTCCCCGCCAGCGCAGACTCCGAACCACCTCGCTTTCTTCTGGGATTGTAAGTGAACATGCTAGCACGTAAGGGAGCAGAGCTGCAGCTTTGAAACACTGGGGCCAGCGCGCCACTTGCCTTGGATGCTGTGGCTCTGTATTCTGTGGCCTTTAGGAACCAGCCCAGCAGAAACCAGGGAAGCATATCAAAATCACACAAATGGATCTCCATGTAGGATCCTACAGAAACACAGGCTCTGCCCTGCTTTTCTCCAGGCTGGTGACACAGTTCCTGCCATGGGCTGGGCTGCAGTATCACCCAGCCCTTGGACAAACTTGTAGGCACCAGACCTGGCCAAAAAGGCACCTGAACCTTTGCAGGTAATGTTAGGCTTGGCTCCCTTGGCCCAGGAAGCTAAACAGAGTTCCAAAGAGACCATTAAGATGTTTTGAAGCTGCTAAAAATCCAATTGCAGATATAACCTCTTAGGCTTGTGACTGGTAGTCTTTCTGGTGGCTGGGATAGTGAGCAGCTCATAAAGCCAAAGGAGTTAGGAGTTGCTGCTGGGTTAGGGATGGTTTCTCCTCTCTCTTCTCAACATCACTCATGTCCTCCCTCCTTACTGCTGGTTTTCTGTGAACAGTGAGGGTTTTCCTTTCCTTTACAAAAGATGCAGGGAGGCAGTTGAGCATTTAGGGGCTGAATCCAGAGCTCAGACTGCTCAAGGTCTCCCTTCCCAGGCTTTGGGAGAGCTGATGTCCTCAGAGGGTAATGGCAGTGCTGTCAGAGCCTCAGCCTACAAGCGTTTGTATAGCGTGGTCCTCCCAGCACCTGCCTTTTTGGTACCAGGCAGGGGAGCAGTGGAGAGGGCATCAGGCACGGTGTGTAGGGAAGCAGGGGCAGTAGCATGCTCCTGGTCGTGGCTGAGGAAAGTGCTGCACCTATGTGGACCAACAGGCAACCCCTCCTGGTGGCTCTTCCTGCCCCCTTGGCTGGGTTTGGCTGCACTGGAAGGGTTAATACCAAGCACCAGATGCTCCTTTATCTCCCCGCTGTTTTTGCAGCTCCCTGCCTGCATCTGAGCTCCTAAAAAGGCTGGCTGGAGCATGCAGTTCAGTCAGGACGAATGAAAAACAGGATGTGGGGCAGGTTTTATGCAGTGTTGAGCTTTCCTGCACCTCTAGCAGAGCCCTGTAAGAAGCTCCAGGCAAGGGTTTCTCTTCCTTCCTCCCAGCGGTCTCTGCTAGTGTAGCTGCAATTTTGGTGGGGTTCAGCATGCGGAGTCCAGTGCTTCAAAGCTCCTCTGGCTTCTTGTAGTTTGTCGTACATTGTAGACTGTTACACTTGGTTCCCAGGCTAGGACCCCCCCCAAGACTTCTTCTAAGTACTTCTTCCAGTTCCATTTCTCTTCCTTTGCAAACCCCAGGCTGAGTCAAAGGGGGCAGTTCTCTCTCTCTGGGAAGCACCTCTGGAGCCAAAAGAGCCCATTTGCAGTGGAAGTGGATACCCCCTGGGAACACTGGAAAGAGGCACCAGCCCTTGAAGCTGCCTGGGCTTCTCTGCTGTGGCACAGCAGAAGCGTGTTTTGTCACACTGATGCCCAGTGCTTTGATAACCAGCTCCCTTGATGCATATCCCCTTCCTCCTCATTCTTTCCAAGATCCCGTTGTGTTTTGCCCCCTTTGTTGTACTTGTTCCCATCACCCCAACTGTCTCCAAGACTCTCAGTGATAACTGTTTCCTTTCTGTGGCCACCATCCACCATGGTCTAACCCACCCATCTGCTGCCTTGCTTGGCCTGCAGGGAAGGAAGGCACAGCAAAACCGGATCAGGTTTCACTGTAAAATCCCTCCTGGACACCAGAGGTGCCAGCTTGTAGTGTGCACAGGGCTCAGGAAGCAGGGGCTTGAGAGCTGGGAGCGGGTAGCGGGAACAGAGAGCTCTGTTACTGCCCTTAGGTAAGCCACTTTCCCTGTCTCTTGGTTTCTCTGGAGTCAGGGTGATGCTATGGCAGGGAGATGAGGTTTCCCTGGTGTCTCAAAAACTCTAAAAATCTGTCCCTGCAAGAGGAGAGGCTGTGCCATCCCCACTGCAGCTGGAGCAGGGCCCAATGTCAGCTGCTGGTGGGCTGTCCTGTGTCCCAGCTGGTAGGGAGCAGGTATGTACTGAGAATGAGGAAGGCTTCTCTGCTGGGAGCTGGCACTGAGCTCAGTTCTCTCCCTCCAGGTGGACAGCTGTTCTTACTGTATTGTTTCCTACTCTTTTTATTTTCTCCTTTTATTTTTTTCCTCTTCTCTTCTTTGCTCCCTGCTCTGCTGCTGCTCTCCTTGCATTCTCCCCACCGTCTCTGGCCACTCTGGCAGCCGACAGACGAGAGGAGTTGGGTTTACTCCCCGCTCCACTATAGCACTCAACTCCACTCTGTCTCCGATGAGGAGAGCGATACAGTAAGTGTACGAGAAACGTGTGCCGGGTGCCCGGTGGGTTGAGGTCGGAGCTTGCGCTCCCTCTGCAAGGTCAGCTTGCAGAGGGAGCCACTGTGGCCTCTGCGCAGCATGGGGCTCTTGCATGGCTGCAGCAGAGCCCTGCTGCATCTTGGATCAGCTCTGTGGCAGCAGGCAGGATCTGCACTGGCAGAGACCTGGTCTGCTCAGCCAGGGTTGTGGCTTGTTCCGAATCGTTTGGTGCAGTGAAAGCTTTGGGGAGCTGAAGTTCTCCAGTCTTGTGAAACAAACAGCCTTCTCTCTTCACACCTGTGTTGATTCTGGGGAGTTAGCTGGGCTGAGACCTAACTGAACGCAGGGCGGATGTTGACTGTTTTCTCTGCCTCTTGCAGTAATCTCTATGCAGACACAGAAGCCCCAGAGAGCAGCGATTCCCTCTGCAGGTCGATGTGTTCCCTTTTCGTTGATGCAGCCGTTCCAGTGGGATGGGGAAGAGCTTGCTGACACCAGTATTGCTGCACTGCAGGATCCCGGGCACTGCATTTCAGAATGGAGCAAAACTATAACCGTGTATTTCTACTTGTCCCAGATGTGGGCAGCAAAGAAACCACCCGCTCACCCGCAGCTCCCAACGGAGACATCCAGCTGGGTGTAGAGAATCCTGGGTAGTAACACAGTGTTTTCCAGACGTGCACTACCGTAGCTACCTATCCATGTGTGATACTGTGAACCTTTTTAATTTTTTAATCATGTATTTATTTCTTTTATCTTTGCACAGAGACAGCACAAATGTGCTTTTTTTTAAACATTTAGTTTACTGCACTTTTTTCTTTTTTTTTTTTTTTTTTTTTGTTGTTGTCGTCATATACTTGTGCATCAAAGGAGTGTGAGACCTCACTGGAGAATTGGTAGCAGCACGTTGCTGGGGAGGGCAGGGGCCGGAGTGGCTTCATCTGAGGCAGCAGCATGGTCTAACCAACTGATGGAATCGAGAGGTTTAAGGCTGTCTAGATTCTGCCGTGGTTTTGCCGAGTGACCTAAGGCAAGTCACTTAACCACTCTGTGCCTCGGTTTCCCCTGTGCTAATGGGTGTACAGTACCCACTTCCGTTAAAGCACTCAAACCCTGGGATGAAAGGTGCTATGTAAATGCAATGTATTAAAGGCCATTGAATAGAATTGCTCCCATGTTACAGTAGTCCAAAGTAGCCATGCCAATTTACTTGGATTCAAAAATCGCTAGTGACATTTATTGATCTGTAACACTGTGCGGGGGAAGCAAACAATTCCTGGCAACAGTGACGTGGTCACCATGGCTCCCCTCCGGATGTCATGATCGGTTCAGCCTTCACAACGTGCTGCACTGCTGCGTCACCCCGTCCCTCTGTGCTTGGAGTCCACGCTTCATCTTGCTGGCTGCCGCACCGCCACCTGCTCCAGACACACAGGCATGGACAGATGAGAACTGTGCACCTCCAGGGACCAGCTGCGCTGGACTGCGAGTTCCCCAGTCTGGCCGGCCCCTGGTGTGGCTTGTCCGGACACTGCATCCTACTGGAGCCACTTAGCACCTTGCATGCTCATGGATGTATCTGACCGCCTAGTATTTGGGGGTCACCAATATTGGGTTCACACGTATCCTCTGTACCTGAGGGCAGTCAGGGAGGTGCATGCATGTCCACACACTGGAGGCAGAAGCAGAAGCCTGGCTCTGGCCCCCTAATTGCACCAGGCGGTATTGTGTTCATGGACTCTGTTGGACAAAAAGCCGGGTGACTGGGATGTTGCCTGTGGTAACAACTGCAATTGGAAATCGCTGCTTCGGATGTCAGTTTGCTTTTTGAGGGCTGCAAGGCTTTAGGCGAGAGGGTTTGGTGTTGCTGTGTAGTGTTGTCCATCTGTCAGGAGGACACACACCATAGCATTGTCTTGAACTCTCACAATCCCATCCTCATCTTCCAGAGAAGAAAAGAAATCCTTTAGACCAGAGGGAGCCAGGTCTTATTCGTGTGCTTCACGAGCCTCACTTGAGAAAGAGGGTCAAAATCTCCTTATTCTTACTGCAATCTTCAGACTGTCCTTGGGATTCTTGTAAAGGATTGTGGAAGCGGGACCCTTCACTCAGGGCTCAGTTCCTCCCAGCCTGTCTTCATAGCAGCACTCAGGATGGGTTAACTGAGGTCCCAGAAGGTAACTGGGCTGGTGCAATGTTCTGATCTTGGTGAGGATCTTCATGAATTGACGGTTTCTTGCCTTCTTCCCCCTTGCCTGTAGCTGCTGATGGCTGTAAGGTGTGCATCTCGAGAGCACAGGCTGGGGATCTTGCAAGTTACTGCCATTAGATGTATTCACCAAATAATCTATCAAAAATCTTTCAAGAAACTCTCCCTTTTCAGTCACTACTTGACAGTTCATTCACCCAGCTAGTAGCATTGCTCCATGACAGCCCCTGCAGCAGGCTCGGGAATGGCTTCTACTTCCCCCGTCTGCTCGTGCCAGTCCTGCCTGGGCTCTGCAGGCTGCCACGGCAGTGCTACGGGGGGCTTGGTAGTTTGGCAGAGGGAAGGTGGGAGGTGTGCAATACCTACAGACTAACCTGCCTCTGGGCTAAAAGCAAGAGGCTTCAAAATGCTAAAAATTCAGCCTTTGGGTTTTTTCCTCCAGAAGCGTGATACCATTTGTAGAGAGGCCAGAGGGAGCCACACACCTTCTGCATCTTCAGATGTTGCTCTTGGATGCCATGCTAGAGGAACGTAGCTCTGGGGAGGAACCTGGAAGGTTATGCTTGGGCTGTGTGACCTGCGGCCCAGTGGCCCTGGTACCACCTTGTTTGTGGGCTGGTGGGTTTAGCCTTGTCAGGACTTTCCAGCCAACTGAGATGAAGCATCTTGTTTAAGATGGTTTAAGCATCATTGATGGAGACTTTATTCCTTCCCCTCATTTTGGGGGTCTCTAAAGCTGTTTAGCATCTGTGCAGGGAGCATATGAGCCCCACCTTCATGGAGTATCTCAATGAAAACTTTGCAGGCTGGAGCTGCACTTGGTCGCAAGAGACGTGGGGGGACCCAGACCTTTTGCAGCATGTTCATTCCAAGCATTGTCCTTCCTCAAGCGTTCAGGCTTTTTGAGACAATCCTTGTGCAGTTCTGTAGTGCTGAATCTTTTGGAGTGAGCAGGTCATGGAGGGTTGGTCCTTGTGAGAGGATGTGCAAAGTTTGTCAACGTGAGGGGACAGGAGGAAACTTCCTTTAGGGAGATGCTGATCTGAAACGGGTTTCAGCCTGCCCCTTTGCAGGCTCCCACATGCTCCCTGCTGCGTGTCACCTACTGTCCGGTTAGCTTGGTGCTGGAGAACTGCTCGGCCTCCACTTCTCATGGAGGCTAAAAGGACCTTGGAGTTTAAAACCTGCTCTTAGCCCACCTCTCTGCACTGCGCTGCAGACCATGAAGCATCAGGGAGCTCTGGAGCATTTGCCAAATGCTGTCAATGCTGCCTTTGCAGGACATGCAGTCAGAGGAGGGCAGGAAAGAGCATCGGCCTTTTTTGGGGGAAAAGAACCATCACCTGTCTTTGGGCTGACTGTCCCTCTAGCTGTACTTCCAGCTCCTCTGGGACATAAGTTGCCTGTACTTTCTTTGTCAGGGCTTTCGCTAGTGGCAGGTGCTGTCCCTGATGTACCCCCTGCTCGCTCCATCGCTCCAAGATTTGAGCAGAACAGCCCTGCGAGACAGCTGCTTCCCGTGTAGCTCTGTGTGCCACCACTCTCCTTCATCCCCATCATCCCAGCCAGGACCCTCAGCGCTGTGGGACATGTCCTCAACATTGGCTGGTGCTGAGGCTGCTGGTGAGCTTTTGGCTTGGGCTCTTGCCAAACTGCAGGTGCCTGCTGCCTGCCAGGTATGGATTTGGGAAGAGAAAACCGGCATCTCTCTCTGTGCTTGCTGTCAAGCTCCTGTAAAGGCTCTGCCCTTTGCAGGCATGCGTAGAGCAGGGGCATGGGGCAAAGCAAGGAAATGGTGTGGAGAGCCCTGAATGTTCATGCAAGGGGTCCAGCTTCTGGCCGCTCTTGCCTCCGCAGTGAGCGGCTTGGTCGCACGTGCCGAAATCGCGCTTTGTGAAGCTTTCTAGTGAAGCCAGAGCACTCGTAGGTCTTGGCACAGGGCCGGCACCAGCACAGAGGTGTGTGCCTGGGCTCCATCCTCCCGGGTCCTTGCTGGGCTCCCAAAGCACGGCAGGGCCTGGCGTTCCCTCTTCTCTCGTTTCCAGCCGCTGTCGTGCTCCAGCTCTTTCCGAAAAGGACAAGGCGAAATCCACGGCTCAGGTGTAGCGGGATCACGTCTGATTTTTCTTTCTGTTGATGTCTACATTAGACCCAAGTATGTTCTGTTGGATGTTTGTATTCTCACTCATTTTCAGTGTCCGC